ATCTGCTAAATCATCCAGCTGCCGGATTCTATAATAATTACACTTTCTGCTATAATATGACCACCATACAAGCGACAATTCATGACCTCACCAACACCTTCAATAAGAGAATGGGGGAATTTGAAGCCCAGCTCACAAAAACAGCTGCACCTAATGGCGGGCCCATTAGGTGCAGCCAATCTGTCCACAGAATTTGCTGCATTTAGAGCCTTTGTGTCACAGGCCCTACAACTACTACAGCAGCAGGTGGAAGCACTGTCTCACACTGTAGATAGTATTGAAATGCATGGGCGACGGAAGATCCTGCTCTTGCATGGTGTTGAGGAGACACAGGATGAAAATATTGCTAACACTGCTGTAGAAATCATCACCCAGCACCTTAATCACCGGGACTTCACTGCTGCTGATATCAAGCGCTGTCAAAGGTTGGGTCGGGCTACTTCCACCAAAAAACCTAGACCCATACTCATCAAGCTTGCTGACGTGACTGTCCGAGACAGCCTGTGGTACAGCAAAACGAAGCTGAAGGGCTCTGGTGTCACGCTGTCAGAGTTCTTAACCAAAACAAGGCATGATTTATTCATGGCAGCCAGGGAAAGGGTGGGAATTGCGAGGTGCTGGACCAGGGAGGGCTTTGTTTACGTCTTGGGGCCGGATGAAGAGCGTCATCGTGTGCTGTCCTCAGCTGAGCTTAACAAGGTTCTCACTATTCCACCGAAGCCGACCATCGCGGTACCGAAAGCCACCGGGACGAAGCCTAAGCGTGCAGCTGCTGCTAAAAAGTAACTTATCTCGCATACATTGCTCAGTCCAGGTACAATTCATCACTAGTATAACATTAAGTTATTGTTTACCTCAACTTCACTTAAATACCTTCATATATTTAATTTTGCATTTGTTATTTTCTATAACCCACATTTTATAGTAAACTTTAAGTATTGAAACTTGACATTTACTTCAAACATGACACATAATGTCATTGTTGCGTTTCGTTCTATACTACTCTCTAATCCTGTATTTGGAACAAAGACTTTTGAACACACTTACCTGGACTGAAAGTGAGTGCTAATTTGTTTTCTTTTTTCTATGCTATTTTTATTTAATTCTCGTTTTTATACCTTTTGTATTGTACAACTTTTTGTCGTTTGTTGTATCTCTTTTCTCTCTAATTTAACTATTTCTATCACTGGTCATTCTAAAACCGGCAACCGGCAGATGGAGTTAACGCATTAATTTAGTTTAATATATTTTTATTTTTTTCTATCGATATTTACTTATATTTTTTTTTCTGAATATTTTATAAATATACACTTTTGATTGTATTCTAACCAACGACTTGGAAACTTCAAATGTCTTCTTCTGACCGCAGTGATGATAGTACCGACTTTTTGTCTGCTTGTAGTGATCTTGGTTCTCAGGGTGATCCAACAATCGTTGAGACTCTCTCATCTCGGTTCTCTGACGTTCCCAAAAATCTTAACATTGTACACATCAATGCTCAAAGTGTTCCGGCTCACTTCCCCGATATGCTGGCATGTTTTGACTGTACGAATTTACACGCTTTACTTATTTCTGAATCGTGGCTTAAGCCCTGCTTACCCTCTTCTGCTTATACCCTGCCAGGGTTCAATCTCATCAGGAATGACCGCGCTGTGGGTGGGGGCGGCGGTGTTGCAATCTACTTACGCTCCTATATCCCCTACTCTGTTATTAGTATGTCGCCGCAGCCCCCTCCAACGAATGCGGGTGAACATCTTTTCCTGGAAGTTGAACTCCTTCACTCTAAAATCCTTCTTGGCGTCTTCTATTGCCCATCCTTACGCATTGACTTTTTCTCATCGTTTGAGCTGCTCCTAGAACAACTTACTCCTTTATACAGTCATTCCATAATCATGGGTGATTTCAACACCTGCCTCCTTAAAAACGATTCTCGTTCGTCGACGCTGCAATCTATCATCCAATCTAGCAATCTATCCATTCTTCCTTCTAATGCAACGCACTACTTCCCTCACTCTGCTCCTTCTCTGCTAGACCTTATCCTTGTTTCTTCCCCTAATCTTGTAGCTAAACACGGCCAGTGCTCTGCTGATGAGTTTTCTTACCATGACTTACTATATCTTTCCTATCGTCTCCGACCTCCTAAACCTAAAACTAAAATTATCCTGCAGCGGAACTTCAAGGACATGGATGTGGTTGCCTTAGTAAGAGATGCCAGCAGCATCGACTGGGCTCCTCTCTTTAGTGCTGACTGTATTAATGACAAAGTGTCATTTTTTACCTCCAAGTTACTGTCTCTCTTCAATAAATATGCGCCGATTCAAGAAATGAAGGTTAAACGCCTCCCGTCACCATGGCTAACTGCGGAGATAAAAACGCTAATCAAAAAGAAAGCGACAGCGAAATCGAAATTCAAAAAGAATCCAAGCGATAGCAACCGGGACAAATACGTGTTTATCAGGAATCATTGCAGCAGGGTGTGTAGGAACGCTCAACGCCGATACATCCACAGCTCCGTTGAAAACGGGGATCCAGCTAAAGTCTGGAAATTTTTAAGGTCAATTGGAGTAGGCAAATCTGTTAATGAATCGTTTTCAAAAAATATAAACTTAAACTTACTTAACCAACATTTTACTGCTTCGTCAAATTTTGATAAAATGACAAAAGATGCTACACTGAAACATCTTACTTCTGCCCCGACTCCTGACTGTTCTCCCTTCTTCTTTAGTCAACTTGCAGAGTGTGATGTTAGGAAGAGCATAGTGTATATTACTTCAAATGCAGTGGGTTCTGACTGTCTAAGCCGCAATATGATCCTCCCAATCCTCGATGAAATCCTTCCTGTTGTTTGTCACATACTAAACTTTTCAATTACCTACAGCGTATTTCCAACGGCTTGGAAGGATGCTGAAGTTATACCCATCCCCAAAAAGAAAAACCCCGCATCCTTCTCCGATTACCGGCCTATTTCAGTCCTCCCTTTTCTATCCAAGGTCCTAGAACGTCTTATTCATTCTCAACTCACGAATTTCCTATCCAGAAACGTGCTCCTAAATCCTCTCCAGTCCGGTTTTCGACCTGGTCACAGTACCACTACTACCCTAGTCCATATTACGGAGGATATCAGATCTGCTATGGAGAACGGCGAGCTTACAGTTCTAACACTGCTGGACTTCAGTAATGCATTCAACACGGTTGACTTTGACGTTCTGCTGTGTACATTACGCACTCTTAACATATCTCCAACTGCGATTGACTGGTTTCGCAACTACCTGCTTGGTCGCCGGCAGCGCATTAGTATTGAGAGCACTGTTTCATCTTGGTGTAGTACTACAGCCGGTGTACCGCAGGGCGGCGTGCTATCTCCCTTACTTTTCTCTGTTTTTATCAACACTATCACTAATGATCTATCGTCTTCCTACCACCTGTATGCAGATGATCTCCAGATCTATTCTAGGGCTACACTAGGTAATCTGGCTGATGCTGTTGGCACCACAAATGATGACCTAGATAAAATATGTAGGTGGAGCAACTCCCACGGTCTCAAAATAAACCCAACTAAAACTCAGGTCATTGTTGTTGGAAGTTCGAGAATGATCTCCAAAATTGACTGGACAAATCTGCCTCAAATCACTTGCAACGGCACACTTATTCCGTACAGCAATAGGGTAAAAAACTTGGGCATTTACATTGATACTACCTTATCTTGGGGACCTCAGATACAAGAGCTGAGTCGCAAAATGTTTGCCGCTGCAGGGTCCTTGCGTCGACTTCGCAACTTTCTACCTACTACTACCAAGATTACTCTTGCACAATCCCTTCTTCTCCCCATCCTTGATTATGCTGATGCCAGCTATCTAGACCTTACTGAAGACAAATTAAATAAGCTTGAGAGGCTCCAAAATCTTTGCATAAGATTCATATTTGGACTTCGCAAATATGATCATGTTTCTGAATTTCGCAAAAAGCTTAAGTGGTTACCCATTCGCCTTCGCCGGAATGCACATGTTCTTTCTCTTCTCTATAGTATTCTATTTAATCCTTCTATTCCACAGTACCTCAAATCAAGGTTTACGTTCTTGAATGACACACACTCCAAACTGTTGAGATCGTCAGGGAACCTAAAACTAAAAATGCCGGAACATTCCACAAAATTCCTTGACAGCTCCTTCTCTGTCCAAGCAGTTCGGTTGTGGAATACCCTACCGGTCGCAATCAGACGGGCACAATCACTTGCCTCATTTAAGAAACAAGTGAAAGAGTACTACCTGGAAGACGGCAACGTCAATTAACTTCTTCTAAGTCGACTAGGTCACACTTTTTCTTATAATATATGTATTTATAACTTAAAAATCGTCGTATCTAATTACATGTATCTAATAACACCATATTTTCCCTCTAGTATATTTTATATTCACCTAAGGTCAACAAATAGATAGTACGCGTAATTATCACTTTTTATAGTTATGTATATACTACTTCGATTTCTTCTTCTTATTCCTATTCTTCTTTCCTAATACACCAGCAACTACCCAATACCTCCTCCTCTTCATGTTTTCTCTCCATACCACGGTTGCCTGTAAGAGATTGCCTCTGGGCGATAAGGCCGCCACTTGTACTGAGCTAGCTTTAGGTAATTATGTATATTTTATATCTGGTGTACAATAAAGTGATATATATTATTATTAAGTTATAACAAAGGTACTCTAAAGTATTTATTAAAAACTTCAACATTAGAGTAATAAAAACATCCCGTTTACCCTCTAAAACCAACTGACTCACTTACTAAAGTCAACAATATTTAAATCATCACGTGTACAACATTAACACCATATTTTTTACATAAAAAGTTCGCGAACATCCGCTGTACTTAGTTATGGTACGACCAAGTAATAATTTTCAACACTTTATACAAATAGGTCAGTATAAAAGTTGAGGCCGGAAAGTTTGGAATTTATGAGGCGGTTTGTTTGGGTAGGTAATTCTAAACAATAACAAACAAAATGTGTACAGTGGCTGGAGGCATGAGCAGGGCTGAGCGTGAGTCGGCCCGCGAGCTACGCGAACCGCTGTAGTACTTTCCCAAACAACGTACATGCCGCGCCGGCCCGTTCAAATAATTTCTCTTGAAACTACTATCTAGCTATACCTGTGAAAATGCTAATTAAAGTTATTTTAGTATTTAATGGAGAAAACGTAGCATGTTAGAATAGGACTATAATTTTTTGATGCATATTAATATTACGGGTGCTAATTAAATATTTGATTGTCCTTCATAACGTGAAGTTATCTGAGAGATGGGCTCAGAAGATATAGAGCTTGAATTAGATTTGCAATATTCACCACTCTCCATAATGCAATTTGTGTTTGTGATATATCTCTAATATAAGATTTCTTTTGCTCATATATAAATTATCAAACTCAATATATTTATATTTATACTTTAAGAAGTAAGAGTTGGTCTTTGCTTTTAATAAACCTATTACTCTAAGCTTGTTCACTAAACATAATATTATTTATGATATTCCTATTTAGTAATGTTACTCAATATATTTTAGTAAAATTCAACTTTGCCTATAATGGTTGTATTTAAATAAATCCACAATAACTATGGAAAAAAAAACCAGCAGCGAACTTTCGCAACGTGCTTGTAATTAATATGTAAATGTGATAATGTTTATAAAATACTAAAACTTTTTGTTAAAACATCATTCTTATTTTAGTCGGGGCTGGGCGAGCTCAGTGTGCTGCTCGATGCGTTCAATAGTGTGAACAAATATGCAAACCAACTGCGGGATTTTAGACTACCCGCAGTTGGTCTGCATTTTTGTTCACACTATTGGTATACTGTATCTCTTACGTGTGGGCTGTCGAGTTGTATATTTTCTGCCTCATAAACAAATTCGTTACATATTTAATTGCTTATGAGTGTCGTATTTACAATTCAATCGTTATCTATACCAAGTTGGCATTTTCACCAGCGTTTTGTTCATACTTAGAACCTTATTATGACTTAATGTTAATTAATATAACACTTAAAACAATCATCATCAACAGCCTTCAATAGTCCACTGCTGGACATGGGCAAAAGGTAAGCCTTAGAAAGGTTTTAGCCTACTATACTACACTGGCCAGACGCGTTGGTAAAGGTTTTGTTTTAAGGTTTTATTCTCTTTACAGTGTTGTTGTCATGCGTAGTTTGTTCCCTTAGTCGGCTCTTAAGATACCAACTTCATGAATAGGGGTGTTACACTACTCATTTTTTATTCGTTTCTACATAGACAAATATATGAAACTATAAGCTCTTTTCTTTTGACAGATGAACAGCGACGTATTTATGGTTCTGAGTGCGGTGAGGAGTTACCTCGCTACGCCAGCAGTCCACAACGTCAGTCATCGCCGTTTCCACACGAGAGCACTAACCGTAGATTCTACAGAAGAAACAGGAATTCTAAAGGTTTGTTGATATAACAAACAAAATGTTCGTGACTACAGCTAGCGTTAATCTAAAGAATTATCCCTATTAAATATTTTAGTGGAGTTAGAACATAATGGTATTTGACGCTAAAATCAATTTCGTATATACCGTTGCTTAAGTTCGACAAAAATCGAACCCGCACCAAATTGCATACTTATTTAGTGTTATATTCATAAAACATTATTATGCTATTTAGCATTTTATACAAAACTTATTGCTGAATTAATGGTAACAGACGGAAACTGTAAAACTGACTGTATTATTCGGGCGATGTGGACCCTATATCTCACCCCATGCAGCTGTGATAACACTTCCCAGAAGTAGAATGTAAACATGTTTCAACGAAGTAGTGCAATTTAGTTTATACTTATTTTATAGCGTAGTCAAGTCACAACTATGCTAGAGAATCACTTTCGTGTTAAGAAAAAATAATTGTTGTACGTTATTATGAACTAATATTAAAATAAAAGTAGTATAGGTATAAGATGTATACAATAAAGCCAGAAGAGAATATTAATACTGTACCAACTAGTAGTCGCAGTATTAATATCATTAACATCACTAATTACTCACGTCTGTTACTCTTAGAAGTAATAATAATATTCTACCACATTCACATAACGCCATCTAGTCCCAAACTAAGCAGAGTTTGTTACTATGGATACTAGACAACTGTTGTAATTACATATACACATTTTTTTTGTAAATACATACAAATTATACAGAAACAGCCGGAACATATAAAGATATAAATCTTTAATTTACTTTTGTGTTAAAATACCTTACGTCCATATCTATTGTTATTAGCGGTTATATCCAGGACTCTTTTAGGAGAAATCATCAATTTGTCCGTGTATATTCCACAAAACTGACCCAACCATCTTGTCAACTAAAGTTTGCTTTATCCGTTTAATTTACAATTTTCCTCAAATATTTTGTTGCAGGAGAAGAGATATTCACTGCTGAAACGGGCGGTACGCTTTCACGAAGACCGCGCCGCGAAGATTTTCCACACGATAACAACACACGCAACGGCCGCCTCTGCCTCAACAATGGTAAAGCTAAAGTTAATATTGGTAAACTTACTTAGACATTCACCGAGGCCTGCTATTAATAATTTACTAGTAGCATTAAAAAAGGAAATAAAATCATGTGGCCTATGTCGGTTCTTAGAACTATGTATTTCTTTGGGACGGTTTTGAATTTTTTTTAACTTCATAAAAAGTTGATCAGTATCAATAAAAAAACTCTCATCGTCCATCACTTATTTAGGCAATTAGGCTTAAATTAATTATCTAACTAATTTTCTAAAGATGAAAATTTCTATGAATGTAAAGGTTGAATATGATATCGGCATGAAATTTGGCGCAGAGATAAATTATAGTCTGAAATAGGCTACTTTTTTACCCGGAAAAATGTAGTGTTCCTGTGGTATGAGCAAGGTACTATACGAACAAACACCGCCAGGTGCAGCTAGTATTATTCATAAAAAAAAATTTTAGCACATGATGATTTTCCGTGTTATTAAAAAGAAATCTTAAGTTTTAAGCATAATGAAGCCTAATCCTTATCAACTAAATGTTCTTTTTTACAATTACTAAGTCAATTATATATTTTTATTCCGCGAAATAATCAGTGTCATACTCGGCTTACTTTTATTTTGTAAAAAGTTTTAAGTATTTTTTTAAAGGCAAAATCCGTACTAGGAACTTCTTGTGTCGCAGAAGAGAGCAATAATTTGTGGATCACAAGTGAAAAGTCTTGTCCCATGTGGGGATCAAACCCACAACACTCAGCGCTGTACGAAGCGTCGAGGTGACCGCTTTGACTACTACGCCATGCAGTCAAATCAGATAATGATACAGTAACAGCTAGTAACGATACAGATTATTCCAATCAGTAATCGATCAAGGAGTCTTCATAACTTTAGGGGATATTGCAAGATGAAATCTCGTGTTTTCAGGTACTAACTTTAGAACATTAAACAGAGATTATATAATGGCCACAGTCATTATTTTCCAGGTGTTTATTTCTTTAGAAAATTAATTTCACAACGATTTTATTTCTCAATTAATGGTTTTTGTTGGACTTAGGTTATTATTGAAGAAATATAAAAAAATATACACTCTTTAAAAATGGACGTGCCAAAGAAAACCTGCCTGATTAATTGCTAAAAATGTCATGGTCTTACTACTGATAATTAGAATAGTTTTGCTTTACGATTACACAGCCACGCGATCCCAGATCTAGAACAAAATATGTTTTATCCATTTAACTGGTTTTATACGAAAATGCTGATAAAGGGTAAACCGAAAACCGTTTGAGGAAACTGATCCGTTTGACTACCAAAAATATCTGTAGTATTTGCTCAAGTTCCCGAATAGATTATCCCAATCACTGTTCTTATAGGAACCCTTACCTGTCAAGGGGTTCCTTTGGCTAACTTTGAAGGCTGATACTTTATTGCTTTTTGTACTATATTCGTTTTTGATATTCGTTTACTGAAAATCTTTTCATTCATGTTGAAAAAAAACCTTATCTGAGTAGTAAATATTAATTTAAATTTTTGATAAATTTTTGTGAGTTTGTCAATAGATTTTCTTTAGTTTTATATATAGGCCGTTCCACAAAAAGAAAAGCGATAGCTTCGTTGTTCATTTATCCCTCTATTCTTTTATGTGTGGTAGGGTACAGACAGTTACTATAACTTATACTATGGCTGAAGCATCATAGTACAATATTTAAAATTAAACTTTCAAATACACATACCAACGTTATTATTAAGTTTCCCTTTAGGTCTAAATTCAATTTTTACGAAATCGTTCTTATTTCTTCTAAACTGTGGCGACTTGTTACAGTTTTATATCTCGGTAACTATAATAACTCCATCCGATGTGGCAGATAAATCCTTGTTTCAATGTAGTACGCGTACTACCTTATAGTTTTTCTTAAGGATTTTAAAACACTTGTTAGGACTTAGGTGCATAGCTCAATTAGTACATCATCTTAACTGTGAACTATTCCAAATTCGAGAAAAACTAAATACAAAAGCCACATAATTATAAAAAAGACACTATTTAACAATGCGCGTGATATGCTTATAAAATCTAGGATTTCTAAAAAGGCGAGATCAGAAAATTCTAATGAAAAAGACGCAATGGACAGTAATTATAAAGTGATTTAAATGAATTCAGAAAAAAAACATTTCTGAACTTTATACTACTAACGGTTTGTAGTTAGATTAATTTTAGAAGACTAACACAATAGTTATACATGATCGGAATTCAAGTAATGTTTTGTTTATATAATAGCTGCAAATATAATTAATTCTACTGCCATTCCAAAATGTAAGGTATGAATGAGGTATTGCACATATTCTGTGCAAGATTCCATTTAGTTATTGTAGTTATGTACACGGTAGTATAGATGTTGAGAACGCGTAATACGTAGATGGGTGCATGCCTTTGATAAGGATGCCGGGCATAGTTAGTAAGACGCACGCGACTGGCACGTACGCAGGTGTAAAGGAGCTTATGGTATTGTATTCATGTATGTACGCCACGCCTGTGTGTGATGTGCTGAGCATCGTGATGTAATAATCAAATTAAATAAATCGATGAAATCGATTCAATGTTAGTGCTTTGATTTCTTTGTCTCCCAGGGTTCTCGTGGACTTTCTTCCCAGGGATACCTAACTCCATTGCGATAAACTCACGAGTGTCGGCACATCGTGAGATTTTAATCAATTCGGTTCCAACATACCACTTTAATGTAAATCATCACTCCCGAGGGGTGTGGGTTCCCGCATGAGATTTTTTTTTATCTTAATTGAGGAACTCTTATGTTTCGTATAAGACTCAAAACACAATTTGAATATTAATAAAGCGGCGGTAGGATAGTGGTTAAGGCGTTGGACTTGCGATCAAGAGGTCGTGGGTTAAAATCCTGACCAGTACACTACCGACGTGAACCCACTTCAAACACAAACAATTTTAGCTCATCGGGAGGGGTAAATGGGAATACTAGTAATTTCGGTTGCTAGTAGACCTTTAAAAAAAAATTACAAGAAAGTAATACGTAGTCGGGGACGGCACTTTTAAACACTTATGAAAGCTATGAAGTAATGAAAACTAAAAAAAATATATTGAATTTTATTGTGTTGTATTTACAATGAATATGTTAATGTATTAAATATATTAATACAATGATATTAAATAACTTTTAATATATATATTTGACCTTTTAGTACCTATTTAAAATAAAAGCTTTGCCGTGTAGAGCTCCTTTTTCAGCGTAGGCGGTACTGCAAAGACATCGAGACTTATGCGTCGCGTTCTACCCGTGTCATTCAAAATTCAAATTCGTATTCAAATATTATAAATCACTTGGTCATTTAAAACAATTCTTTGAATCGGATAATTTTCTTCGTTTTCATAAAATCTTTTTTTTATCTTCACGTTATCAACGTTAATACCAAAATGATATTGAACGTTTGTAGTGGCTGTGTCTTCCTAGCACAGCCCAACAAGCGAACGTCTACAATGGACAAAAGCTTCTGTGAAAGAAGCCTTACACTTAGTAATTTATGTAGACAAAAGCTTCCAATTCAAAAAGTTTCTGTGATGGTTGCAGGCTATCAGGCAAGTTTATTTCTAATTGTCTGGTGATATGATAATGATAAGTTGAAGATTTAAGATTTAAGATTTTGAACTTGTGTTAATTAATTACCGAAATATAATTATGTAAATAATAAAATAATAAATAATAGTAATATTTCTGACATCTGACCGTCAACGCCATCTAGTTTCAAATTAAGCAAAGCTTGTACTATGAAAGCTAAATTGACTGAAAGAAGACTATAAATACATACATATTATACATAGAAAACACCCCTCCGAAACAAATATTTGCGGATCATACAAACATTTGGTCCGACCCGGGAATCGAACCCGAGACGGAATAACGGGCATTAACGCAAAATTTTATCACATATTACAAACCTATAAATTGCCTGACGTTGTCATATAAATCCTATAATCGTACATGTATATAAATATGCCATAGAATGTAGAAGTTAATTAATGTAGACTATTATTTTATTTCTTCCGGATAAACTTTTATTTTTAGATTGTCGTAGACATGGTTGTTAAAGTAAAAATTTGTGCAAAGCTATCTGTTAATATAATAATATTAAATGTAGTTGTATCTAAAGTTGACAATAGAATACCAGTATGTGCCATATTTTGTAATATGACGTAAGCTTTTGATTACGTATGAAGTTGACTCTACTACGTAGTGTTAACTTTATTTATTTATTTAGTGCATCGTTATTATCAATTTTCGAATAAAGCTTACTATCATTTAGTCCTAGGACTAAATATTAATAATGACCTTAATCGGAAAATACATGCTACAGAGTTATGCAAAAAAAAATCGCCAGTTCAGCCTATACTCTTTTAAAACTTACACCTTTTCGCAATTATGAAGGTATACTTAAAGCATGTCATAAAGATAAAGATATAACACAACTATCTGAGGAAACTAGACAACTAAAGATATTGTTTTTAAATCTCAAAAGCATGCATTAAAACAATGTTGAAATTAAATCTACAGATAGTTTTGGTAAAGATGGCTATTTTTTTTAAAGTCGAACCTGGAGCTATTCGAAACGTTAGCTGATACTGTTATTCGCAATAGAAGGACCCCCACCAGTAATAGGATCCGAATTTGAATATCAAATACAACAATATCTCTACAATATATATAATAATACCACGTTTGGCTCTGCATCGCCCTAATGGTATAGGAGCTAGCAACGTTTTCGAGAAAGAATTTAGGACAGCTGATTTTGTGATATGTTGTCCTTCTTGCACTTTCGGTTAGAATCTGGGCTATCTGGCTGGCGGTAGCGGTTGCGTTCATTAGTGCGCATCCTACCTGTCCAGGTAATAATCCTGTATTTTAAAAGCATTTTGGAAGGCGTAATTTTTAATTTTTTGTTTTTAAATAAGTCTACCTGACATACTTTTTTTTATTGCCAGACATTTTTGACAATGCTAACTATGTGCCATACGCGATTTTTGTTATTTTTTTTTATAAAATTTCAAAGTATTTTATAATGTCTGTAATTTTAATATTATGTTATTTAAAGATAAGAAAAACTTAAAATAAATTTGCCAGACATTAATTCGATTGTTAAGTCTTGAATTAAAATTAAAAAGTCATGAAAATATTGCAGTATGATGCTAGTAGTAACAAGACACATTTTCACTAAAAATCAACTTCTTCATATCTCACTACTTTTGAAAATAATGTGCCTGAGCAAGAGTTGAGTAAACATGAGATTAGTATTTTGATGATGATGATGCGACTTAACAATCGAATTAATGTCTGGCAAATTTATTTTAAGTTTTTCTTAGTCGTTACGTGACGAAAATTTGGAGAAATGCTCACTCAAAACATCCAACATCTTTATCTCCAATGGCTTTCGGTTGGACCATTAACGGTGACAAATATGATTTTGTCTGGTTTTTGGGAGATCAATTACCATCCTCAGTTGCAGATATTATTGTTCAAAGTAAGTGTGAAATGGAATATTTATCAATAATAACTAAAATGTTTTATAACGAACTAGAAGAATTACACTGTTTATTTTTTTTCTGTTGCAGATGATAGAGTTTTAGAAGATAACGAAAGTTCCCAAGAAGATGATATGAATGACACTGACAAAGACAGCGACGATGATGATAATATAATAATAATAATATAATATAATAATATATTCTACCACATTCACACAACGCCATCTAGTCCCAAACTAAGCAGAGCTTGTACTATGGGTACTAGACAACTGATATAAATACATAAATACTTTTTTTTTTGTAAATACATACATATTATACATAGAAACACCCAGACCAAATCAAACATCAAATGTTCATGCACACAAATGTTTGACTTGAGCGGGAATCGAACCCACGACCTTTGGAACAGCAGTCCGTTACACAAACCACGCCATCCAGTCGTCGCCAACCATCATGATGATGATTATGAAGATGCCTCTTTTTTGTGACGTCAATATAGGCTGAAACAACTTGAAAAACTTAATATTAATTATTTATAATTTACATTTAGTAATCAGAACAATTTAAATAAAAAGTGTTGTTTTTTAAATTTTAATCTAATTTTATATTCCTTTTTATGCTTATTTTTTGTTTGAAACTTGCTCTGACTAGAATGATGATTATTATTATTCTTATTCTTATTATTATTATATATTTTTTTTTATTATATGCACAGTGAAAAGTAATTTACTTTCGTAATGGTTCTCTGTATCATTCTCGACTTATTCTTCAACTATCTCTCTCGGACTACTAGCATTATACTGCAATATTTTCATGACTTTTTAATTTTAATTCAAGACTTAACAATCGAATTAATGTCTGGCAAATTTATTTTAAGTTTTTCTTATCTTTAAATAACATAATATTAAAATTACAGACATTATAAAATACTTTGAAATTTTATAAAAAAAAATAACAAAAATCGCGTATGGCACATAGTTAGCATTGTCAAAAATGTCTGGCAATAAAAAAAGTATGTCAGGTAGACTTATTTAAAAACAAAAAATTAAAAATTACGTCTTCTAAAATGCTTTTAAAATACAGGATTCTTACCTGGACAGGTACGATGCGCACTAATGAACGCAACCGCTACCGCCAGCCAGATAGCCCAGATTCTAACCGAAAGTGCAAGAAGGACGACATATCACAAAATCAGCTGTCCTAAAATTCTTACTTTAAAACGTTGCTAGCTCCCGTACTATAAGGTCGACTGGTAGAAAATTCCAACGGCATTAAGTCCGCCTTTGCCAGATTTGTGCATAAAGATTTAAATAAATAAACAACTAATAAGATATCCGATCACATTAAAAATCTAGACATAATTATATTTAAAAAACGTCTACAGGAATGTCTCATTGCAAAATTGTATTATGTAAGATACTTCTTAGATGGTAAACAATAACAATAAATTATAAAACTGACATAAATCAATATATTTTATCATATAATTTTTTATTATATATATTTGATTATCTATTCAAATTTGATTGCTCGATTGACTATAGGAGGGGTTTCTAATTAGCTCCTAATATGTAGTAGGTACATACACTTCTTGCTACATCTACAGTATAAGGTACTTTACAAGATAGGTGGAGCCACCACTAGGCTTTTTAGAGTTAATCAGGTCGGTCGTTTTTAATCTAACGAACGGGAAAAGATATTAGGATCACAAAGAAATACCGTGTGGTGAGATTATAAATTGACTTAACTGATAACAGTTACTTAAGTACCACTTACTCAGTTTTAAAAACTCAAATTTTGGGATTAGTCTAATTAAGAAAAACCGTGTGGTGACGGATTAAGAATACAGAGTGTCACCACCCCTATTCATCTCGTGGGTGTCGTAAAAGGTGACTAAGGGAGCAAACTACGCAGGACAACAGCACTGCAGAGAGAAGGAAAACTTGACAGAAATCCTATACCAATCCGTCTTGGGGGCGTGGTGTAGTAGGCAGTGGACTAGTAAAGGCTGTTGATGAAGAAAAACATCTGTTACATAAATTGTAAATATAAAAAGATCGGAGTTAGTTAATGCGCCTCATCACACTTTTGTACAAGTTCTAAGCATACATTTTAACCTACACAGGCCAATCAAACAACAACGTCCAGACGAACGAACGTGATTGTGAATCTCCTCCAGAGCCAGCACCCCCTGAAGTACCACCACGAGGTCCTTCGCTCCACGTTACATTACGTCATCGTCCTTGCGACCAACCTCCAGAACCTGATCGTTTGTACTTATCTGAAGGTAAGAAGGAATGTTTATTTTATTTTCGTCTAGCCTTATAATATAATTGTTTGATAGAATTACATTCTAAGTTTGAAAATGAAAATAACTCCAGTCATAAAATTAAATATATCAGTACCAAAAAAGATATGCGTATGCAATTGTTTTTAGCTGATAACGACGTACTGATATAAGAACCTAGTTGTTTTATCAGTACGAACGTATTTAAGTTCTTATTAGAATATACGAGTATATGGGGTCTACCAATAAGAACGTCCTGGTTTAAAAATTGAATAAAACACACAATTTTTATGAAAAATGCATCCGATTGATTTATTTGATAGATAATTTTATGTAATTTATGTTTTAAATAATATATCGGCCAAATGACCGCCGCGGCTCTTTTTGCAGACGGTCACCCGCTCACGCCAATTTTCGATGACGCGGTGCACCATTTCGGCCGGTATGTCGGCTATGGCTCGTCGAATGTTGGTTTTTAGGTCACGAATTGTAGCTAGATTATTGCTGTACACTTTAGATTTAACGTAACCCCAAAGAAAATACTCTAAAGGTGTTGAATCACACGATCTTGGAGGCCAACTGATCGGTCCATTTCTCGAAATTAACGACTCACCAAACTTTCCACGCAATAATTCCATGTTCACTCGAGTAATGTGAGGTGGTGCACCGTCTTGTTGAAAATAAAGGTCGTCTGCATCAATATCATCAAATTCCGGAAAGAAATATTCGGTTAACATCGAGTTATAGCGCTCGCCATTCATAGTAACAGGGTTTCCTTCGTCACTTTCAAAAAAGTACGGACCAATAATTCCACCGTACCATAAACCGCACCAAACTGTTATTTTTTGCGGATGCAATGGTGATTCATGAACCACACGTGGATTTGATTCACTCTAATAGCGACAATTTTGTTTATTAACAAATCCATTGAGCCAGAATTGGGCCTCATCTAAGAAGATGATTTTACGATGAAAATCGTCATCGGCTTCCATCATTTCCAGTGCATAATCGGCAAATTCACGACGGATACAATGGTCGGATGGCTTCAATTCTTGTACCAAAACAATTTTGTATGGGTGTAGGCCCAAATCCAACCGCAAAATATGCCAGGTGGTCATTGGAGAGAGCCCCAACTCTTGTGAACGGCGTTGAACTGATCGATTTGAATTCGAATCAACACAGGCCTGAACGGCTGCGATATTCTCTTCACTACGGGCATTTCTTTGTCTCACAAGCACAGCAGTATCGTGGAGAGTGAATTCATTTTCAAATTTTGTTATTATGCGCGCTATGCGCACAGAAGGAGCACTATGACGACCATTTTTTGCGCTTCTTACTGTAGCGGTAGGAGAACGCGAATTTGCGTAATAATTTTGGTCAATTTCCAAGCGTTGGTTTAAAGTGAAACGTGCCATGATAAAATGGCAAACCTTACTGAACACAAATGTCAAGAGACGTCAAAGATCCATCATCAAACATGGCCGCTATGAGCTGTCAAAACCAGGTCATCTCTATTGGTAGACCCAGTATATTCAGTTCAGTTTTATGATAGGCGTTACCGAAGTTGTACTCTATTAAAAATTCTTCTTTAGTATAAATGGATTGACCATTTGTAAAGCATCAGTATATAATCTAAATCTATTTAATACGCCTTATCTACATATAATTAGTACTATACTACTTTCAGGAGAAATTCACTACCATAACAGTATCGTGATATAACCTGTTTCATATTTTCCTTCAATTTCTCCAAAATTTCGGGATTGTTATTAGTACATCTTAATACACAAGCACCTGACTCACCTATTCGTGAGCAGTTACCGACATACATAGATTAGATTTGTAAACGGGACTTAATCGCGGTATTAAGGTACAATACCTTTTCGTTTACACGACATTTCGATTGCTATGTTCTTACATATTTCATCTTAGCATAGCATTTCAAATCATAGCATCTTTGCTATGATTTCATAGAGAAATGGGCTAGAAGGATCAGTTTTTTTCCCTGAGTTGCATTATTGAAAAGTGTTAAACTAAAAATCAGAAACAGATTTGCGTGCTTAAGATTTTGAAAAAGGTTGTAAATAGAGTGAGGAATAAGTGTGGACTACATCATCTACGCATGGGATGGATGACGTTTGCTACAGACTCCTCAGTCTAAGATTGTTGTTTATATTAACTAAAAGAGCACGAGTTAAATTTCAGTATCACATCAACAGCCTTTAATAGTCCACTGCTGGACACAAGCCTCACCTTAAAAAGGAGGTTTTGGCCTACTATACCGCGCTGTCCAGATGGATTGGTATAGGGTTTGTTACAAGTTTTTCTTCTCTTTGCAGAGCTGTTGTCCTGCGTAGTTAGTTTATCCGACTAGGGGAGCACCCCTATTCATCCATACCCACGGTTGTATCGTAACCACGAATCTTTTATTGTAAGTGGCCAGATCCAGAAACTTTCAGTATGCACCACGTACCTTTATAACACTTCATAAGTACTCAATGTAATGGAAGTCCTAAGGACTCATTGACGAGCTTCTTTTATTGCAATGAATATCAATAATCATAAACATTGGCCATCTAGTAGGATGACAACCAAAGTTGAGTTTTCCAGTCTTTGACTTTTGAATCTTTTTATTCCAATTGTCGCCAATGCTATGGATCACTAATATAGTGTAGAGAAACACCAAACAGTTCTTTGCGTCGCTTGATGAGCCACCTTGATTTTTTTTCAACATTTGAACAAGTTAGTAATTCAGTTTTAATGCAGTACTAAATAATAACATGATGGTAGAAAAATCACTTGGTAAATTTCTGATTACACTGAAAATTTCTGATTAATCTTTCAATATAAGTAATATTTCTATCCATTTATAGATCTAAGTAAGTTGTAAGTATTGCA